CTGGCTGGGGAATTCTGGGAGTTGAAGTCCACACATCTTAAACTTGCCGAGGTTGAGAAACTTTGCCTTAGTGCTTTTGTTCCCTTCAGTGATGATACGATGACGAGTCAGAAATGGATGCCCTCTTGCTCAGAGCAAACAGCCCTGCGCCACGTTCTGTGGTGCTTTGCTGGTTAACTCTGACAAGGGTGCCCTATTCACTGGATGAGCTAGAGGCATTTGTCTGAGAAGGGAGAGTTGAGAAGCAGGATTTCTTCCTCATGTGAATCTGAAAGCAGCTGGCTAATGGCTTTTAATGGGCTGTTTATTAGCTGTCTGTGTGTTCGTTGTGTGCCAGATGTTGGATTTAAAAGGCAGGTCTTGAAAGCCTCTCTGCTGTGGGCTTGCATTGGAGGAAACTAGAAATTGCTTACTTACGGATCTGCGTCCCTTTTCAGTAGTAAGTGCTTTTCAGAATGGCTCCAAATGGTGAAATAAAGATGAAAATGGAATTATAATAAAACATCACTTTTGCAAATATGGGTAGGTTTTATGAATCTAATATAAGTAAGTGCCAGTGTATATATTGATTGTTACACTTTAATCAAGTGGTATAAGTGTTATTGGCGTACTTTTATAGAGCAGGCAGTGTTAACAAAATTGCAACAGTGGCCTAGGACAAAGAGAGGATATGTACCTGCCAGATCTGTGTTTCTCAACCTTGGCAACTTTGAGATATGTGGACTTCAACTCTCAGAATTCCCCAGCCAGCTTGCTGGCTGGAGAATTCTGGGAGTTGAAGTCCACACATTTCAAAGTTGCCAAGGTTGAGAAACATTGTGCCAGATTCTTGATGCCTGCCTTTAAATAGTGGCTCTGAGATTCAGCAAGTTGGTTTAAATTTAACCCATATCACCTCACAGAGCCTGGAATGCAGATAGTTCCTCTGATGCTAGTTGAGTGCTGGATTGGACTGGCTGTTGGTGGAGAATGATGTGAGATGGATCTCAGCCTTGTATCCTCCATTAGGGGGAGATGGGTGGAGAATGAATGAATGAATGTATGTATGTATGTATGTATGTATGTATGTCTTGGCCTGCAAGTCACAACTGTGATTGTTTTGGGGACAGTTTCTGTCTGGAAGGCAAATGGTTTGGGAAAGCTGATCTTGTGGTAGTTTTGCTCTTGTGGGACCTTTATTTGAAATATCAAGAACAGGTCAATATACAATTGATTGCACTGTTCCGAGGACAGCTAGAGCATAGAGCTTGGAGAGGCCGTACTTAAGAGTCCATCCTTCTGTTTTCAGTCCTTTTGCCTCCTTGTAATGGCAGCCTGGGGAGGGTGCTGTGCCCAGTGGGGGCCACACAGACGACTGGGTTTGTGCAAAATGCTTAACATCTTGTGCAAATGCTGTAGTAGTGTAACAGCATGTGGGAATGGCCTCAGGAGACAGGAGGAAGAGCCAAAGCCTAGACAATGGTCTGATAAATGAAATCTGAGTCCAAAGGAATGGGGAGTGGGGGTGGAGAAAGCATCTCAGAAGGGACCCTCCCTGGTTTTCAAGAGAGTAAAAGTAAGGGAGAGGAGGGGTGCTTGCAAGATTCTGTTAATGTAACCTTAGTGTTGGTACTCATAGTTGGTGCTTCTTGTCTGGAGTGCCTCAAACAACTAGCCTCTAACTGGCCAGGTTAAGTGTATCACACAGTCCAGCCATTGGGTCACCAGGTAGGCCTTCTACCAGCACTCACCCATCTTTGGAAGTGTTTGGATGGGACCATCTCCCAACTGAACTCCTGATTTCCAGCCTCTGGATTTTAAAGCCCCTTCATGAGGCTGTGCAAGGCACATCCTGAATGAGCCTGTCATTGGCAAATAACCCCTTTATGGTGTTATGGGCTAACCAAGATGCTCCTGCATGTTTGAGCACAGCTGGTGAAGTCCTTCAAAAGCTTGTTGGATTCTTGGGGCGAAAGAAGAAGACCGGGCTCTGCCATCTGGCCTGGGGCGAGGAGGGGAGTCATCAAGTGTGGGGTTGGCTAGCCCCTTAGAGGCCTGGCGTTGCTGCCTTGAACCATCAGCCTCCTGGATTTTTTCCTTTATTTTTTGTAATTA